TGTTTGAAATGTTTCAGCAAGAAAGTTTAAAATAGAATCGTGTCTCCAAGTAAAGCGCTGAAGGTACGATTGGCAGCCGGCTACCACGTGTAATAGGGTTTCAGGACACAAGCAAAAGGAACATTCAGGACTTGAAGGTAAACCCCATCTTGTAAGATTTTTTCGCGTAGGAACAGAGCTATTTATGTAACGGACGGTGAAGTTGAAAATGTTCTTTGGCAGTTGCCAGTTTTGATTGAGCGGCAGACCAAAGTGTGTTTAACTGTGAAAGGGAAAACTTAGCAACATTCGAGAAAAATGAACCTTGACAAATTAAACGGTGCTGAAGCTTGTCTTCTTGTCCAGAATGAAAATCCTTAAGAACTTCCTTTGTTGAATTATATATGTCATATTGAATATTTGTATGATTGTTAGTTGATTTCCAGAGTCTTTTATGGAATCATTTGGGGATGTTTTAAGGCATTGCGTAGGACAGTTTGACATTGGATAAATTTGACGGATGCAGGGGGGATATTCAGACCAAATTTGTGATGGGTTAGATAAATATTACTTAATGTTCCAGAAATGAGTATTTCAAGCCACTTTCTGATGTATTGATTAATCACAGAATCGATTGTTTCGGTACCCAGGTTTTCGACAGGGGTGCAACAGTGAGATGCCAGGATATTTTGGATAGAACGTAACGGTTGTATAGAAGAAGTTTGTTTTTTGGGTGTAGAGGTTTATGGTCGATATCAGACATTAGTTCATCAATGAGGGACATTAGTTCAGATTTGTGGTCGTGGTCAGACATATCAAAATCAAAGAATTTTCCTACATACTTAAAAGATTCTCCCATTTCAATAGTAGGTATGAGACCATTGTTAATTAGTAGTTTCGGTAAGTACTGAACGGATTTTGTCAAAACTTTCTTGATGCCAAAGGTGCTACATTTATCAACTCTGATTATCATGTTCGACCATTGACACCAGATTGTGAATCGGTCTAAGAGGTGTTGGTTTTCATAATCTTGGCCAGTGATAACAGCCGCGTCATCAGCGAATTGAAACCAGTGAGTGGGATTGAGGAAGTTAAGCATGAAACCAAATTGACGGTACTTGTCAACTTTTATGTGCTGAATGAAAGTATTAAAGCACATGTTGAACAGCAGAGGGCTCAGACAAACGCCTTGTAGCACACCACGGCCAACAGTTATGAACGGAGTGCGGAATTCAGAAACTATCACGGAAGTTTTAAAATCAGTATATAAACTTTTGATAACATTTTTGATGTGGTCAGGAATGTGATGGTATTCAAGTATAGATTGAATACCATCAATAATAATAATAATAATAATAGCTAATCCTCACAGGAGATCTAAATTGTGATGTCAGTAAAACTATACCTGACCCTCACACATGTAGGTTGCAATTTTTATGTTCTCTGTATCAGATAGACCAACTTATTAAAGAATCTACAAGCTAACTCCTAAATCAGCTACACTAATTGATTTAATATTAACAAATAGACCAGAAAATATTTCCAGATCAGGTGTCATTCACCTGGGAATTTCATATCACAGCCTTGTCTACGCTGTGAAAAAATTTACACTACCGAATGGAAGGCAAAAAATTCGTCAGGTTCGTAACTTTAAAAACTTTGTCGAAAATGATTTCATTCGGGATGTGTCTCAATTGCCTTGGGAGATGGTCTATCAGTTTGGAGATCCCAATTTATGTTGGGAAGTCTGGAAATCACTATTACTAGATGCACTTGATAGACATGCCCCTCTGCGCCACAAGCGAATAAGGAATAACCCTAGCTGTCCCATGGATTAATCCTCAAATTAAAGAACTTATGAGAAAAGGGGACTATCACAAAAAAAAGGCCATAAAATATGATTCGGAGTCACAGTGGGAATTGTATAAAACACTACGTAATGGAGTAAATATAAACATGCGGAAAGCAAAATCTAAGTACTTTTGTGATAAAATCCAGGCAAGCTCTCAAATGGGAGACAGTAAAAGTGGATGGGCTTGGATAAATTCGCTGTTAGGAAGAAAGCATAAGAATGCAAATATTAATGAACTGAAAGTGAATGATGATATTATTTCTGATGATAAATCTATTACTGAAACATTAAATGAATATTTTATAAATATTGGAATGAAGATGGCTGCTGAATCAGCATGTCAAAGCACTGATGCTTTAAATGATCAAGTAATTTATGAAAGTACTGTGCTTCTTCCTAAAGAAAATTTTCACTTCGCAGATATTACTATAGATAGTGTTTCCAAACGCCTACAAAAACTAAATGTCTCAAAAGCGACAGGTATGGATGGAATACCTGCGAATATTTTAAAACTGACATCAACCCTTATTGCTCCATCTATAACTTTTATATTTAACCTATCGATTAGAACTGGTATTTATATAGATGAGTGGAAATTAGCTAGAGTTATACCAATTTACAAATCCGAGGATAAGCGTAAATGCGAAAATTATAGACCAATTTCAATTCTTCCCATAATAAGTAAAATATTTGAAGGGGAAGTTTTTACTCAAATATATAGCTTTTTGAATAAACATGCGCTTCTGTCTAAATTTCAATCCGGGTTTAGACCAAAACATGGAACCTTAGGTGCTCTTATACAAATGTGTGATCAATGGCTACAAGACATGGATGAAGGCAAAATAAATGGAGTTGTTTTTCTTCATATATGTAAAGCATTTGACTCGGTGAATCACGAGATATTATTGGAGAAGCTTAAAACCCAGTTTGGAATTCACGACATTGAATTAAAATGGTTCCAATCATACTTAAGGAATAGAAAGCAAGTGTGTTCTGTTAATGATCAAACTTCTTCTGCAAGAACAATAATATGCGGAATTCCGCAAGGATCCATACTTGGTCCATTATTGTTTTTGCTATATATTAATAATGTGCCTGACATTTTAGAAAGGACAACCCCATGTCTTTATGCCGACGACACTCAGATATCTTCCTCTTCGCATGATTACGATACATTGATTGACAATTTGAATATGGACCTTTCCAGTATTCATAAATGGCTTGCTAAAAACAAACTAAAATATCATAGGAAAAAAAACAAAAGTCATGTTTATTGGATCTACGCATAATCTAAATCATAAAATAGGAAATAGACCCGTTGAGATTAACAAAATCCCAGTCCCACAAACCAATACATTTAAATGTCTAGGTGTAAATCTAGATGAAAAATTAAGTTGGGAGAAACATATTGATTCTGTATGCCATAAGATTAGCGCTGGAATAGGAGCAATTAAAAGAATAAAACCTTATGTTCCACACAAAACCTTACATGGTGTCTACAAAACATTAATTCAGCCTCATTTTGATTACTGTTCTCCCCTGTGGGATAACTGTGGTTTGGGACTTCAAGACAAATTGCAAAAATTTCAAAATCGAGCAGCAAGGGTGATTACCGGAGCTGACTACGATGTAAGATCGTCTGAAGTCCTAAACAAATTAGGCTGGGAAACCCTGGCTAGGAGACGAGAACAAAACAAGCTAGTATTGATGTATAAAGTCTTGGGGAACCACACTGCGCCAAACCTTAAAGATCTTTTTTCTCGGAGAAATGCATCGCAGAATATTTATGATTTACGCAATAGCGAAACTGATCTCTCGTTAAAAAAACCGAAAACGGAATTTCTAAAGAAAACATTTGGATACAGTGGAGCAATTCTATGGAATAGTCTCCCGCAAGATGTCAAGGCGGCTGAGTCAATTAAGTCATTTAAAACAATGGCGAAATTGCATTTAAGCAGATGATAAGCTAATTTCTCCAGGACCAAATGATGGGAGGACAATATAGATTGTGGGCGGGAGGGTGGTTAGTTTTGCGTGAGGGTGGGTGGGTACTTGTTTAGGGGGTGGAGGTTTGGGAGGAAGATGATAAAATTTTAGGGTGGGATTCTTACATATTTTGTTCTATATATAATTAACATTTAGCTCTTTGTGTATATACGCCCTTCGTGGAAACCAGTTGTAAATAATTGTCGAAGTTAGCGTATTGAAATAAAGTTTTACATACATACATACATACATAGTATTTGATTTAAAAACTAACCCTCACTGTGTTCCTCCAGAATAATAGAATATCAGCCTGGCACATAATTTCTTGAGCTTGTTTACTGCTTTCCTTGTCTGTGCGAGGCTCTGAGACGGCGTGCGAAGGAGACCAAGAATTCCGCCAAAACTTGGAATAATTAAGCACGAGATTGGGGCGATGACTATTAAGACCAACATTCCTCGCGGGCATTAAACCTTGTGACGTCATTATACATAAGGTCTATCTGACAAGGTATAAAACACTCAATATGATACAATACAAATGGTGATGTTTGTGATGTTACTCTGAGTGCATATCCACACCGGGCAAGCCGGAAAAATATGCCTGGCCACGGTGGGAATCGAATCTACGACCTTTGGAATACTAGCCCAATGCTCTACCAACTGAGCTACGCGGTCTGGTCGGTTCGAGTATGAGATATTTCGGAACAGAATCTAGTTCCTTCGATATCACTGTTATCTAATAATAATCATGATTTTTCTGTGTTGGTGTAATGTACTCAGGTGAATATGATGTTTGTGATGTTACTCTGAGTGTATATCCACACCGGGCAAGCTTGGAAAATATGCCTGACCACGGTGGGAATCGAACCTACGACCTTTGGAATACTAGCCCAATGCTCTACCAACTGAGCTACGCGGTCTGGTCGGTTCGAGTATGAGATATTTCGGAACAGAATCTAGTTCCTTCGATATCAATGTTATCTAATAATAATCATGATTATCACTAGCTGGTTCAAATTTTTACTGCGAACATAAACATAGTTGTAATTGGTTTTACCTTGTATTCTTACATTCTATAATCACGGCTATACATGCAAGTACTTGTCTGATAATTGTCAATTTGCTAGCCTCTGAGTTTCACGAAATATATACTCGTTGAGCACTATATAGTCAATTTTGGAACTTGATTTCGTACTAAGCACCTGGGTTTTTAAGCTGCACAACAAAATGCGAATTAACCTCCCACCCCACCTCCCTCCGGTAGACACAATAATCGTATTAACACGCGCCAAGAACAAAAATATTTATTCGTAACTCCATTACATTAACATCGAATTCGATAACAGCTGTTTGTTACTAGTACTAGTCTATTGTTTTTACTACTTAAAGAAAAGTCCGAGTCACAGAACTTTAAAGTCTTCAATTCACCGGCTGTAAATAACAAAATAGAAATACAATGAAAGAGTTATCAAATAAAACAAAAATGTACACATTAGGATGATCATGAGCAAATAAGGTAAGATTACCGGCAATATAGTGGTTGATTGCACATATTACTTCACAGACTGGGGTTTGATTCCAGCACTAAGCATATATGTGCTCACAAATCAGTTGCCTCGGTCCTACAGTACATGCCAATCTCGTAGCCAGACACTTTCCAGTACAGCGTAGTGGAAAGAGCCTGGGTACGAGGTTGCCTACATGCATATACGTCGGAAAATAATGAAACCAGCTTCATTTTACCAACATCATAGGTATTTGTTCAGCCAATACGGCTTTCTTGTTTCTTCATGTATTAAACGCTAAGCCTGTGTGGACCTATACCATTGCAAGGGCCCCTTTTAAATTAAAAGACTGGAGAGGGCAAGTCCCCCCAGCTCCATGTTGGCTGCACAGTCCGAAAGTCAAGGCCCCCCCCCCAGACCCCCAAAAGTACCGTTTTTCCAGTTCACCAACTTCAAGGTGGGTCTACATCCCAACCCCCCTCCCTACTGAGAAATTCTTAAAAGAGGCCCTGGCCATTACTGTGTCACTTCTAAAGAGAAGCCATTCGTTTGATGCAGTTGTCCAGCATGGAATAACATTAACTAATTAAGATTTTACATGTATAAACTAGCTATAGATCATATCTAAAATGTTAGAACGAGAAAGCACTCACTCATGCAACTCTCTCCACAGAGTAATTATTGCTACAATCCGTTGAAAGCTTTGCAGCTCCGTTCCGTCCCCTCGCCACATCCTTCGCCAGACACAAGGCTCGAATGTGGAAATCAGGGTTGCAGATAGTAACGAAAACGCTCCTTTTATTTGGATTATAATGCAGAGCGACTTCTTCGTATTCACTGTTTTTCCCGTCCTTATCTGCCATGCGGAGATGCAAATCTGTATCCACGTATAATTGCTGCTTTTTCCCATCAACTGTAACAGCCGGTTCGAGCAAAAAGTCGGCAGAAGTGTAAGACAAATGGAATCGCAGAAGATTTTTTCCGATATAGTACCTCGGTTCAAAAGACATTCGCCTGTATTGATAATCGGGGTTATTGCTATAGGCCAAACGTTCTCCATCAGGCAGTAATGACAAATAAACTGAAATGAAAAGAATCTAATGAGACGTATCTTCGTATAAAGATATAAAGAGCTGGGCTTGGTTGTACGAAGTAATATTTCAAATCCGCGACTACGAGGACTGGACTAGATTTCAAGTTCGCGCGATTTGATCAAGTCCGAGCCAAAGCCGAGTACTAGCTGGATCAAAATGCCAGGACTTGAATTGAAATCTAGTCCAGTCCGAATTCGAGGGTTTGAAATGACATCCATACGAATAAATCACTACTTAAAGTGGGGTGAATGATAATCATATGAGCAAAGTAAAGCAATTTGGTTGACTGATTTACTCACCAGAATTATTAACGAGTTTGAGATGGTCGAATAGTGCTATACTTAAAACTATACGGATATATATGGACAAGACAATTATAATAAAAAGAAAGTTTAATTTATAAAGTATAATCAGGCGAATATGGAGCTATCCAGCTTTCCTACAACAGCCCCCAGACTCGAATGTGAATCACTCCAAAATCCTCGGGTACACTCCCCAAAAATCGTTCGAAAAATCTTGAAATCACGCGAACCGTCGCTAAAAATCCCACACATGAAATAGCTAAAAATCTCACAATCTCATGAAAAATATGCAAAGACTGCGTTCAGAATCTTAGGCCGCGTTTACACAGTTACACTATAACGCTACGGCTAACATTCCGTTAAAAATTTACCACGTTTCTGTAGTATTGAGACATATTGTGTTTACACTATAACGGAGATGACGGAGTGGTTCAGTTGCCGTAATTAATAACTACGGACCACTACATTTGCCACTCTGAGTACAAATCAGTTTCCTTAAAAATTCACCATACGTTTCCTAGTATTGTGTTGACAATATACTCGGAGTGGTTTCCTGTAGCGTATTAACAACTGACCACTACGCTTGGCATTCCGCATGCAAATCACTATACGCTACGGTAAATTTGCCGTAGCGTCATAGTGTAAATGCGGCCTTAAAGTCGTGCCTAAAATATCCTTTAAAGTCCGCTGAAGATCTCAAAGAAACCGATCCCAAAATACCCGGGTATTTTTGCTGGGGGGTTCAAAATCCTCAAAATTGACCCCTCAGCTGAACTACTCAGAATTTTAGACGTTCGTAGTACTCAAAACTTGTTTGAACTATAAGTTAGTGCAATATAGCAAAACGATTTTTTCTTACATTCTGGTAATCCTACTGCATCGTCCTCGCGCTTATCTCCCCGTTGAAAATCTACACGTTCATCCTTGCTGTGACGAAAATAATTTTCTAGCAAGCCTGCGTAACTAAAATGTAAAAATATAGTATATATTAAAATACACAATTAGTGATATAAAACACTGAATATTTGGTTTTTCCCCCACCCTTCCAAGCTATGCAATTTTGCTATCTTCTTCAGCAATCGGTTTAAATAAAATGGTGGTTAAACCATAGTTAATATAATTATATTAACTATGGTTAAATTTAATTCTAAACATGCTTCCTGAAACATCGACAAATAAGAATAATATATAAGCATATACTTTAGTATACAGCTGATTCAATTAAGGTTGTCCTTCCCAAACCTTAAACCTTAGACTCTGAGCGCGCAAGGGATGATGGGTTTTCACCTATTTGGCCCTTAACAAATTTCAGAGTTTATGAGTCTAAATAAGCAATAACCCAGCATACTTTGCGCGCTCAGAGTTTAAGGTTTACGTTTTTGGAAGGACAACCTTCATTGAATTAGCTGTATATATAATTATGTATAAGGACATGACTACACTAAAGTCAACAAGAATCGTCCAGGTATTAAAATTGCTT